GTAGCCTTTCAACCTCTTTGCAACTCCTTTGCTTCATAGAGCTGGGCTAGGAACTGTGGCAAAGACACCTGTGGCAAAGTAAGAACTGAAAATTATGCTAAAAATGATCAGTCAGCAACTAGGAAAATCAGGGCAGGCAGAGAAGGTTCTGATACGCTGTCTTTGTAGTTAGAGCCACCTAAGGCAAGTACTCAAGACAAAGTTTGCTTTTCCACAGTGAGGGCTACAGGTATTTGGCCTCTGAAGAATCTCCGTTCTCTGAGATCCCAGATTTCTTCGCAGCAGAGGAAAGTTTAGAAGCACATAGCCAGAATCTCCTGAAGGTTCTCCCCCCCCCCCATTTACAACACCAACGGCAAAAGAGTTTTCTTCCTTCTGAAAGGATTATTCAAAAAGCAAAAGCCTTCCTTCTGTACTGCTCAGTTAAAGACTATCAGCGGGCATCCACTACCTTTTATTAGAAAGCAAAATGCAGGGATAGGAGATGTAATTTGAAAGTAGGCTCTGACTTTTTCACTGCTTTCTCTAGCCTATTAAAAGCATACAATCTGCCATAAATTTAAGAATAATGTCCAGGTAAATTTGTTTACACATTTTACAGAATGGAAGATGGTCATCTTCCCCAACTTTGAGGGGTACTATTTATGACACTGTTTTAAGGCAAAGATTCCCATTTGTGCTTCTAAAGGTGCACTTTAATAATCCAGCACTGGGAGCTAACCACTTTGTTAGCAAAAAGCTGTACATTTGGAAAGGGTGTGGAAACAAATTCAGAAAGTACACAATTTCTGAGTTAAGCTACAAGGAAGGGGGTGGCCCCATTTCGACAACAGAGAAGACATCAGAGGGAACAAAGAAAGAACAAATGGTGGCAGCAAAGGTAACTAGGGGGGATTTTGAGCACAGGCAGTTACACGTACTTAAAAACAGTCTAAGGGGCTTGGTGGGCTTTAAGGAAGGATTTCAGGCAGACAGGGACTTCCAGGGATAAATGAGCAGCAGTGCGTGAACATGTCTGACAGCACAGGGGGCTTATAGGCAACTGCCAATGATAAGAGCTGAGAAGCAGAGGTCACAGGTAGGACATCAGGGGCAAAGCTATGGGAAACTTTAGTTAAGGACTTTATGCTATATGCAAGAGTGGATGGAAAATACAGGTATGTTAAAAGGTTTACACATCTGTCCAAATGATTCAAGATGACATGCCTAGCAGATGCACAGAACAGGAAGTGTCAGCAGATGCAAATTATAATGCTGCAGAGGTGAAAGAAGCGGTACCAACATTTCCCCCTTGTTTCCCAAACAGTTATCTAGGAGTATTGTCCTCTATTGCATTTGGTCTCTCTCAATAAGCCATTGATACGCTTACCCCAATCTTTAGAAGGCAAAATCCAAACTGAAGGCAGTCCCTCCCATGACTCCACTGGCTACTGAAGTATTAAAAGCAGGTTTCAGATAAAACAGTAAACAGCAGTTTGCTGCTATGTGAACCAGAGCTTTCGGGACTCTCAGCAGTGACCCAATTAGATATTTTCAAGGCAAACCAGTATATATCCAGACCAAGAAATTGCAGTTTGCACTTTCCCTGAAAACCTGAATTACGAATGATGGTACATAATCGTGGTTTGCAGAGAAGTGCAAAAAACAAACAAATAAAAACACACAATAACAATAAAACACTAATGGTTTTGGATATAACAGCAAATACCCAGCTGTGTGAGAGTCCCAAGGATCCTGCAGGCATGTTTACACAGGGTCAAATCCAAGTTTGCTATTATGTTTGAATGAAGCCAACATTTCAAAAGCTTTTACGGTTTCTTAATATATTTAGGACCAACAATGAGAGAAATACGAGCATGCAACTACACTAGAATCAGACAAAGTACCTCTTCCCTACCCTTTTCTACTTATTTATATTATTTATAGTCTACCTTTCTCACTGAGACTTAAGGCAGATTACACAGAGAGAGTCCATACAATCAACAGGATGGGACATTCAATGAACAATGAAATAGGAATTGGGTTGTAGAACCAACCATAAATCTAAAAACAGAATTGCAGCAAAGCTTAAGGGTTGACTTGACATATTAAATGAATGCAAGATTACGCAGCATGATCCAATTTACAGCAAACTGTACACAGTAATATAGACCACAGACCCTAATAATTTATCCAACTAACTTTGTGAATCATGTTGTACGGTGCTACCCTATTGCTTGCATAGAAAAGCCCTGCTGAATACTTGTTTTGCATAGCTTGCAGAAAGCCAAGAGAGTGGGAGCCTTCTTCACTTCCTCAGGCACGCCATTCCACAAGGTGGGGCCCACAATGGAAAAGACATATGTATGGGCAGTGGTTGATTTTGTCAATTTGCAGATTGGTACCTGCAGAAGGCCATGTTCAGATGAGCAAAGCTGTCATGGAGGAGCATAAAGGGAGAAATGGTCTCAGAGCTACGTGGGTCCAAGGCCATGAAGGGCTTTGTAATAGCACCTTAAATTGAGCCTGATTACTGATCGGCAGACAGTGGAGTGACTGTAGAATGGGACTAATATACATTCACCACCTAGCTCCTCGTAATTACCAAGCTGTGGCATTCTGCACCAACTGGAATCTCCAAGTAGACTTCAAGGGGAGACCCATGTTGAATGAATTATAGTAGTCTAGCCTCAATATTACTATGTCAGGTGGCCACTGACCAGATCAACTGTATCAAGGTATGGGACCATTTTTTAAGCTAGGCTGAGCTGGAAGAATGCCTTTTTTGCAACTGCATTAACTTGCTTCTCCAGCAATAATGTTGACAAGAGTCAGATGAACCTCATCAAAAGTGGGGAGCATGTTTTTCAAGACCTCTGCCTTCCTGAGCAGCATTATTTCTGTCTTTCCAGGATTTAGTTTCAATTTGTTCACTCTTAGCCACTTAACCACAGCAGCCAGGCAGTGACTTAGGACTTATACTGCATCACCAGGAGATCTGGATATGTATTTGCATCTGTAGATTAATGGTCTCTGTAAGCTGTGGAGTCTTGTGAGCAAAAATTCTATTTTGTGAGCTACTGGCATTAAAGTTGTGAGCGAGCAATTTGGATACTGCATAAATTAGTTTGATCTGGAGCTATCCCTCTTGAGCTAAGACAAAAATGTATGAGCCAGAGGCTAAAAAACTGTGAGCTAGCTCACACTGACTCAGTTTAGAGGGAACACTGCTCTCAATATATGTGTTTATACCTCTAGATGAAGTCTGATTGTTGCAGACAGCAGCAATGCCAAGCAGTGAAAATATTTTGAGTATGTTTTAGTGTTTAATACTGACCTGAATAAAATATTGTCACCTTTTAACACTTATGTTACTGACATGAAGTCTGAATTTGAGGCCCAGGCCAAATGCCCCCCCCCACATGTAATAGGCTATACCCTGTACACACTGTGCAGTGGCTTATCCACTTCAATTCTAAGAAGAGCCAATAATTCCCTAAACATAATTACTGTGTATTCTTTTTCTCAGTACAGTAAAACAGCCCTTAAGTTATACAGAAAATGATCAATACATTAATCTGGAATTTATAGTTAGTTAAAGTTTCTTTATAAGGTGCAAAAAGAGCAAACAGAGATGCGCTACAGAAGCCAGCCCAAATAGGCTTCAGATACATAACATCCTTCAGCCAGCTTCTTACATTCACTACTCGGCTGTACAGAAGACTGAGTTTTATTTTCCACCCTTCCATTACACTCCTTTGCCTGCAGCGCCTGCTCCAACGCAAACAGACTGGAATCAGAGAACCAGGCTGGGGTGGTAACTCCGGATGAAGAATCATGTGTCCGAGGGCGCACTCCTCTGTATGTGGCACAGGTTGCCGTATCACCCCTGATCTAGTTTGTGGGGGGGGGGGGGGTTTGCTGCTGAGCGGCGCCTGCGATTGACACCTGCTCAGCCACGGCTACAGGCAAGAGAAGCCCCGATCCCCCCGCCAGCAAACACCTAGGCCTCAGCTACCCTCCCGCCCGTTCGCAAGAGGCCAGGCCAGCGGTGCGAGGTGCCCCCGCTGGGTTGCCCCTCCGCCCGCTGGACGGAATAGGCCATCGATTCCCAGTCCTGTCGCTAAGAGGAGCCCAGAAGAGCGAGGCCTGCAGCTCCACTCAAGCGCCGGCCTGGAGTTTGCCATTTCCCCTCGGAGGGAAGAGC